AAAAAAAAAAAAAAAGAAATCCTCAGTCCCTGAGGATTATTTAGTCCCCATTTAGAGATGATGGCAACTTAGACTTAATTTATAGTAAAATGAATGACTTTAAAAAGGCAGAAAAGAACAGGATTGTAAAATATTACTGAATCTATGCTAAGCAAACCAAGATGCATTATTTGGCTAAGATTAATAGTGAGCCAATCCACATTTTCAACAAGTTTGCCCATAATATTAAGTAATACTTCCACATTCCAATTTTCACATCATCTTCACTCACCGGCTGACGGGTTGTGTGCAAGCTCTCCACGCATCCAACTCCTTAGAAAGGTGCTCAATTTTTAAAGGCACTGACACCACCCGATGTTTTAACAGCTGACTAAAACATGTGAAAAAGAAATTAACATCTGACGTCCAAGACTACAATATCAAAAAAGCAAATGAGCTTTAAATAACTGCAATTTCAGATTTAAAAATACATGTGTATATATGAATGTGTGTGTGCACACGCGTGCACGCTTACTTGTATATCTGGCCTTTAAGTTCCCTGAAGTCAAAAATGTTCAGTAAATATCAGCTGGATGACGGTCTGAGTGAGCAGACCAATGAGTGAACTGCAAGGGAGGTTTTGGGGGGAATGGGTGAAATAGGAGATGGGGGGGATGAAGGAGTGCACTTGTGATGAGCACGGGGTGTTGTATGCAAGTGCTGAATCATTACACTGTACACCTGACACTAATATTACACTGAATGTTAACCGGAATTTAAATAAAAACTTAAAAAAATAAAATGGAAAACTAGTAAACAGGTAAACAAACAAATGGAGGAACAAGCGAATTGTGGCGAATGGACAGACAAGCCAAGCAACGGTGTATAATAGCCCCACATGACTGCTGTATGGTACGACGCACGGCTGAATTAGAAATGAGTATTAGAGGAATAAGAGATTAAGTGGGAGAACGGCAAGAGAAGAATGTCAACTAGTGCAAAGGAACGGAAATGCTGACTTCAATTCTTTAAAGACAGAGATGTGTGAGAAAAGGCAGTAAAACAGTGACATCAGTGATCCATCACATCTGTGTAAAGAAAACTGGAAAAGAGATATAATTAGTATTAATTAGGAAGCTTTAGATAAAGAATTACCAGTCCTAGTTTCTATAGTAAGTTACAAACTCAGTGTGTTTTCCAAGGAACTAGTTAGCTGAAATTTAAAAGTAAAAGCTGTTCGGGAGATAGAATCAGAACGTAAGACCTTAGAGATGAAGTTAAGGGTTAAGTAAGCCGTTCTGTAACGTACATTTTATGACTCCCGCTAGTTGTCATCTGCTGGGCCATGGTAACACTTGGTGAGGAAAAAGGTATAAATCTCCCCCTACATACATACACACACACACACACACACACACACACACACACACACACAGGTCTAACACTGTAGTAATATTAACTGAAATCGGCTAGTGGCTTATCATTTTCTTTTACCCCAAATTACTGAACTTAAAATTTTGATTGACAACGTGGCTAGCTCCAAAATGAATTCCTTAAGCACCCTGGCTTCCCTGTCTACAAATGTGCACTTGATAGGACTTTATCTGTCCAGTAGTTAAAGATGATCTACTATATATAAAGCAGTGACGAAAAGTGAGGAGGAAATCCAGGGTAAATAGGTGGAGGGGATGCTGAGAGACTATCAGGGACAGCTTCCATATGTATGGGATCGCAAGTAATTCAGTTTGGCCGGAGTGGGGAACTGAGAAGGTTACAAGGGGACACATGGTCAGAACCCTATTTTTGCACACCTTTAACGTAAGACTAAGGATCTGGAAGCTCTGTGATGGACAGTGGGGAGTCCGGAGGGTACCGAGGAAGGGGGGTGCTTCTGGGGAGGAGGATGCCACAGCAGGAAGGGGATGCAGCCGGAGAAGAACAGAGATGCAGAGATCAGGTGAGCAGATGCAGCGCTATGGCAGGAGGGAGTTAATGCAGACCCTAACTATGGCGGTCAGAGAAAACAATTAATCAGGACCTAATCATGTACTTCTGGGCAAGAGAAACACAATGGCACCATCAAAAGAAAGAGAGAACACAGGAGAAGCAGCAGATTTGAGGAGGAAGAGGAGTTTCACGTTGAGCACACGGAGTTGAGGCCAGAGTCTGTGAGCCACAGAAACAATGCGTGAATATAAAAACCACCATGGAGGTGACGGGTGGAGCTCCAGAAATGGGGAGGTTTCTAAGGGCAGAGAACTGAGGGGAAAGAGGGGTGAAGGGAGACCAGGAGAGCAAGCTGGGAAGCAGAGGAAGGGAGGAAGAAGAGGGCCAAAGAGAAAAGCCCTGGGGGCCCAGCATGAGGGGCGAGGGCATCAGCATGAGCACAATACAAGACAACAGACACCATAATCAGGCAAGCAAGAAGTTCCTTCCAATTACGGCCTTCTTAATTTCTCCTCAACTAGCATGTTTAGATACATTCTCCCAAGTCTCTCCCGCCTTACATGTAAAAGCCTCCTTTTAGTTCTGATATTATTCCAAGGGACCATTTTCTCTCTCCTTTCATTACCCAAGTCATATATAAATGAAACATATTTCATTAAATAATATTTTCATCCCATGTGGTACATGCTATTGCTCCCATAAGATATTTTAATATTGTTAAACGCTGCCTTCGAATTTGGGTCTGCTGCCTGCACAGAAACTGATTTTTCCTTTAGTTTCCCAGCAGTACCACTCCACACTGTCCCTCAGCCTGGTCCAGGTGGCAGCCCAGTCGCCGAGACAGGAAAGAGAAAGGAGGGGGAAGGAAGCTTTCTCTCAGAAAGTCCGCCCCGTGTGAAGGGCACTCAGAAAAACTGCTTTTACCCACAGACTCAGCATTTTTAGGAGTCAGCTACTCTGCTGTGTAGCAAACTAGTCAACTTGGAAATGATGTTTTGCAAAGGTGCTGTGGATTTTCTTTTTGATTGTAACTAGTTTTAAGCACAATGGCTGAAGTTATTAGCAAGCTGACAGAAAATACAGGGGTTTGGGAGGACTGTCAGGCATGACTCTAAAGCAGTGAGTTACCCGCTGTTCACAAATCCTCTTTGCCTTTTCCTACCCTAGAGATCGGAAAGCTAAAATACGCAGTTTCTCTGCTTCTTCTAAAAACAGGGTTCCACAGTTCTGGCTGAAGGGATGCAGGCATATAACGCAAGGGGACCTCTCCTTCCTGAGTCGGATGCCTCATGCTTTGGGGTCTCTATCCTGTCACCCTTCTCTGCTTCCTGCTTAGAATGCAGACCCTGTCACCCTGGGTTCCTCAAGCAAGTGGAAGGAAGCCAAGGAAGTCAGTGTCAAAAGAAGGGAAGAATTCAGGTCCTGGATGGACTCTGAACAGCTCTAACAGCCCTGGAATGCCGACCAGGTGTCTTGACATAAGACCAAGAAACCCCATGTGTTTAAGCTAGAATTAGGATTTCTATTATTTACATCCTAATTCACTTCTAATTCACATAGTTTATCACTGCTTTATTATAAAGTACAGGCTGAATGAATTAATGGATGCATACAATATGTATTTGGTGCCTTCTAGGATACACTTAGAGACTATCTTAGTGAAGGGAATTTCTCAAATTTCATAACAGAAGAGAAATCGGTTTTACCTTGTATACTCATAAAGTGCTGGAACAATGCTTTGGTACTGTCTTCTGATAGCCAATAATGCACCAATATAACCACATAATATGAGCAATTCATTTCGAGCTCTAAAAGAGAATATATTTATTTTTTTAATTCCATAACTTGAGGTCTAGAACATTACTTACACATGTAGTTACTGTACTTGTACTCTCTATTTTGATGAGTGACATTTATAGCAAAATATGTTTAGAAAATTTTCCAAATTGAAGATGTTTTATTCATAAGTTAACTCTTATTCACACATTTATGCTATACCACAAATAATGTTTAACTCTTGCCTTCTTGTTTTTCTCTATTCCTTGACTGTTTCTTCATGTAAATTTTTCTCTAAGTAACTCATTAGGCCCAATCTAGGAATTCCTGGCATATTGTATAGACTCTAGGAAAGGACAGAGCATACCCAGTCCAAGTCCTGCTAGGGAAACTTGTCAAAGTTGGGCAAAAATGCCCAAGGCTGTGGCATCATCTTTTCCACACACACCATTAAAGCAAAAATAGCGCGAAGCCTCCATTACAAACTACACACAGTGTCTGGGGACTTCTCATTCTATGGACAACAGTGTCCTTAAATTATACTTGAATGCAGGGACGGTGTTTATTTTTCACTTTCTAGCACCTTCACTTTTTTCCCCAGCCTCATCTGCTTTTTTGCACACAGTGGCTATTTAATAGATATGACCACTAGCTTCTTGAGGACTAAGACTACCCCAAAGCTTTGAATTAGCCCTATTTGAGCCAGGTAGGGGAGAGAGTGTGTGTGTGTTTGTGTGTGTGTGAGTGTGTGCGCATGTGCGTGTGTGTACAAACACATATATAAACATACACACTCTGGGTATTAGTAAACAGGACCACTAAGACTATTTCTGTTTCAAATTGACCTCCGTATTTTTTCTTAAGAATAGCAAATAAAGGGGCACCTAGGTAGCTCAGTAGGTTAAGTGTCCAACTCTTGGCTTCGGCTCAAGTCATGGTCTCAGGGTCATGAGATTGAACCCCAAGTTGGGCTCTGAGCTCAGCCCACAGTCTGCTTGAGATTCTCTCTCTCCCTCTTCCTCTCCCCCCTCCACTCTCTCCTTCTAAAATAAATAAATCAATAGCAAATAGAAATGTAATTTTTCTACAAGGGCATCTACCTGTCCAAGATGATCTTATTTCATGATCTGAACACTAAAAACAATATAACCATTTTAAAACATTACATAGGTTCAGTTACATATTTTGAAGAAAAAGTACTCACTTAGTACATGTATGCAAGACTAATTTTTCAGTACGAATATAACTCAACAGGTCAAGAACAGGATAAATGGTATCCAGTGTCCAATTTGAACTAGTGATGTATTCTGGCAAAATAAAACAAAATAAGAGATTCTCTCTAAGTATTAAAACATGTTCATCCAATTTTTAACTTACGTAATTCTCTTCTGGTCAATCCCAACTACCTCCTTATTTTCTAGGTCACAAGTATTTTCGTATTTACCCTCTCTCAAGTTCCCATACCATACAGTACAATCACCAATCTCTTTATTTTTTATATTTAGTCCAGTGATGGGTATTAAGGAGGGCACGTATTGAACGGAGCACTGGGTGTTATACGCAAACAATGAATCGTGGAACACTACATCAAAAACTAATCATGTACTGTATGTTGACTAACATAATAAAAAAAAAATTAGGATGGCCAGTGCTTGATTTTAAGGTTGCTTATCAGTATTAATGAAAAGATCAAATAAATGAGATTTTAGATTATACTACCAAATAAAAACTTACCTTTGATGTAATCAATACCAATAGGAAGGGCTTTTTCAGGTTCCTGACTTAACAAATAATACTTCACAGTTTCAAATATATTACCATCTGCCTGGGCTGTCTCCGCTAATTGCATACATTCCTCTACCGTGGGTAGCTTGCACTGAAAAGTAATTGGTTTTGATGACGTTACTAAAATTTACAGGGATAAAAGCAGCAGTATAAGTACTAAACATTTCCAATATGTCTAGTATGGTTTCCTTATTCAATCGCTCAAAATAGATATAAATGAAATAATTTGTATTAAAAGCATACATTTATGAAAACATCCTTAGGATCTAATAACAATAAATAGGGTATTACCTAATGAGTTAAAAGTTTTTCATCACATAAATACCTAATAAAAGAGGTAGAACGAAATTGTCCTGTGATATCGGAATTAGTATCCACGCATGTACTTCAGAAAAAAACTGCTGAGATTTGTTATTTCAAGATACACGGACTGATGCCAGAAACTACATTAAATGTAGAAAACATCAGCGATACACTCTTCCACAGCCTCTACACTCTGGAGTTTCATTTCATTTGGCCTTTGAGACAAAGCCACGTCATTTCAAGCAGGAAGGCGAAACACATACAAGCCCTCAAAGTTTTTAGCTCTGACATTCTGAAATACCACAAAATGGAGATTTTGAGCCTATGAGATTCCGTCACTGTAAAATACAAAGCAATACTCCCTATTTTTTCCAAATATTTTTTTTTCCTGTTCAAACAGAGAGTCTGCTCCTCCGTAAGGAAGGTAAGTTCTTCTGCTTCCATAATGTAGGCATGAATTAAGGTACCGTTTATATCCAAATCTGATGTGTTCATGATGTTTGAAGTGGAAGTGTTGAAAGTTTGCTGGTTTGTTTCTAAGCAACACCTATAAATAGTTGAATGCTTCGGCTCGCTGGTGTTTGGCAACCGTGGAGAAGGTGCTCCCAGTGCAGAGAGGATTCTGTGTTGTGACCCCACATGCCGCAGTTCAATCTCCGAAGGCCGTCTGTCCGCTCGCCTTTGAGATTCATCACTCTCTTCCCTTCGTACTTTCCCTTTACGTCCCTTCAAGTCACTAAGATGGTTTATTCGACCTATTTATTAACGCATTTATTCAAGAGTTTCACAACTTCTGTGATTTAAAGTGGGTGGGGGGTGGGAGAAGTAGGTGATGGGGACTAAGGAGCGCTCTTGTTGGGAGGAGCACCGGGTGATGTATGGAAGTGATGAATCCCTAGACTGTACACCTGAGACTACTATAACACTGGATGTTAACTACCCGGAAGTTAAATAAAAACATAAAAAATAAATAAAAATTTGGTAAACTGAACATTTTAGATTCCTCAATCTCTCTCTTAAAAAATTACAACAAACTAAATTAAAGGAGCTTTCATACATATAACATTTCACATTGCTTCCCCATCTTCATTTACTAAATGCCAGTTATTTACTGAGCAACTACTACGTGCTAGGTACTCTGCCTGGCTAGATAAAATAAAGCTTCTTCACTTTGATATATGCTCAAAGAGTAAAGGAAATAAAAAAATGGTTTCTGTTGAAATTTTATTTTCAAATAAAAGAGTAAGATGATCATTCCTGTCATTTCTGTCTTACCTTAAAATTCCAAAAGTTATATAAATTAATATTTGAAAATATAATTTTTAACATTACTTGTGAAGTTGTCCCAAGCTAGTAACACCTTTACACACACTGACTAGTCTGTCTAAAGAGTTATTAATGAAGTCTGACCAGAAAGTCTGATGACATCCTTTTAGAACATGTGATGAAAAGACTATGTAAACGCCATCTTACCCATGTCATTACCAGGGTGTAAACACAGACAGATGTCTTGCCTCTCTAAGCCCCAATATTAGCGCCTGCTGTTCTCACCTCAGAAGGTATGTGGGTTACACTTAAAGCATTAGGCAGGGCGCCTGGGTGGCACAGTGGGTTACGTGGCGGACTTCGGCTCAGGTCCTGGTCTCAGGGTCCTGGGACTGAGCCTGGCACAGGGCTCTGCACTCAGCGGGGAGCTGGCTTCGCCCTCTCTCCGGCCCTCCCCCTCGCCCTCTTCTTCCCCTGCTCCCACTCTCTCTTTCTCATATCAATAAACTTAAAAAAAAGGCACTATGCGGCAAATGTGCAGTTCCTACGTCCTTCCCTATTTGAATTTCAACATGGAAATTGCTTTTATTTGTCATGTTTGTAAAAGCAAGTGCGGCTCATTTAAAAAATAATTCACAGAATACCAAGTGTAAAAAGAAGTTAAATCACCCAAAATCTTACAACCCCCTGGTCACTGTGCATACTTAACCCTTTCACAAGTATTTCCCCTGGTATCACACAGTCACTCACACACACACACTCACGCATACGCTCACTCACACATACCCGCTCACACACTCACACATACCCGCTCACACACACACACACACACACTCACACACCCACTCACACACTCACACACATACGCTCACACACTCACGCTCTCACACACGCTCACACACATGCTCACACTCACACACACACTCCTTGTCTATTTGTACTATCATAATACTTAGTAAGTATCCACTGATGGATATCCCCATCCCCACTCAGCCCCTGGGGACAAATCAAGGTTCATGTAAGTGAAACAAAACATTGTTTTTTGGAGTTAAAGATAAGAAAATGTTTTATTATATCTTACATTTTTCTTAAAAGAATTTTACATATCTCCTTAAATATGCTATAAATAACAAATATGTACAGTTTTTTTCAAAATGAAAATCACATGGCATGTGCATATTTCGTATTCTGCTTTTTTATATGACTGTTTTACGGCCATCTACCAATGTCAATAAAAACAGAGCTTCATGATCTTTTTAATGGATTAAAAGCACTGAAATACAGAAATGTACTGCAATTTACATAAACAATCTTCCAATTATTGAATATTTTGGTTGTTTTTATATATGATCTTGGTACGTAAATTCCTATATTCTACAAAGGAATAATTCTTTAAGGCGCTTTAGAGTAATGCATGTGAATTTCATTATACTTCATTAACTCTTTTAAGGATCCTAAGTTGCCTATTTTTAAAAAGTTAGCATACATGTTCCTTACAATGCAGAGTGGCAGAGTGGGAAGGGCTTGGGACGTGGAGGCAGACATGCTGAAGCTGAAATTCACCCTCCACCTTTAACTGAGGGCAGTTCCTTACCTTCTCTGAGCTCACTTTCTTTGTAAAATATGAACAATAGCCCCTGCTTTTCAGGGTTTCATGGGAGTTGAGTAAAACGCAAATCTATGTGAAAATCTAGAACTATTCCAAGCATACAGTAGAAGCTCAACAAATGTCACGTATTGTTACCATTTCTGTTATATTTATAAAAGGGTTGGAAAGGGATATGTTTGTTTCTCTGCCTGAATCTCTATGTGCCCAAACCTAAAATAAGTTAAATCACAGCACTGCATTCCAAACTGGAGTATGTAATATCCCTTGCATACCTTCTCATGAAGATCATTTATCTCTTCAGTACACCCTGGGTAGAAAGCACAGAGTTTAACTAACTGCAGTTCATTATCAGGAGTCATCAGGAGAAGATCAGCTGCCAGGTTCCTATGTACATGACAAAAGGGGAAACTTCAATTAAGGAAAAAAATCTAAAAATAACATTTAGAACTATTTCAAAGGAAGAAAACTCTACCACCTTCCTCGATTTTCTACTTATATAAACAGTACTAATTTCCTACCTAATTATGGAAGTCTTCTAAATGTACATGACAGAAACCGAAGAGCATGAAGGATAAATGGATTATGAAATTTCTATAATTTTTTAAAAATCAAAATGAATCTTTATATATTTGCAATTAATTTTGTTATTACAGAATAATTCTCTAACCAAACTAAGTAGTATTAGACATATTCTTTGGAGTGAATTATAAAGCAAACTTTGTGAAAACTAATTCTCATCAGCTTTAGTTATGCTAGCCAGCTGCAGCTGGATTAGCCAGCTCCTTAAAACCAACAGAATACTTAGATGTTTTAAGTTTAGAATTTTGGATATTCTGCATCTCTCCTAGACGTGGAAATCAAAGATAGAAATGCAATTTTCTGATTTACTTTTTAAAGATTCAGTAAATGGAATAAATCACTTAAAAAATAAGGTATTTTAAGGTGTTGTATGGACTCAACAGCTTTACGTTAAAAATATTTTGTATACCACTTTTTAAAAATCACTAGGTAAAGAGTTTTTGGTTGCATACATCATAACTGAGAAGACACTAATTTTGAATGGTTTGAGAAGTTATTCTATTTTCAAGAAACTGATATATGACGCATTCAGCATAACTTGAGAATAGACAATATTTCAAATGTGAATTTCTGAAGGGAAGACTTCTGAGGGTAAAATCCTCCCTCACCTTCTTTGTAAAGCCTTCAGTAAAATGTACATTGGTCATTTATGTGAATAATTATTTTAAAAACATTAAGAGATATTTAATCAAGTATATCATGGGCAAAGAACAGGAATAGACACAACTTGTGTGTGTCAAATATTCTATCATCACAGAGCAGGTAAATCTTTGAGTGTTTTTACAAGTCTCAAATTAGGGTAATTCATCTGTTCTTACTAAAAGGTTTAAATAACTGTATTTTCTGATACCAACATTTAATAGCAGTATTCAATTATGTCCATGAGAATATAGAAATTACCACTTGCTTTTATAGTACATAAAATAGCTGTGCTAAAATTCTATTCAAACTTCTATAAGCTACAGACAAAACCCTGACTTTCTCACTGTAGAATTATATCCTGATACACTGAAATTTATAGCAATGCTAGCTAATTTTATTCACTGTTTAGTGTAATTTACTATTTATTGAAAATTCAGTTCACCAATTAGGGAAAATGTACATATTTGTAATGATACAAACCTACCAAATAATCTAAAATCTTAAATTTTGCTACCAGAACAGCCATTTTTCACTTGCTTAGCTATTAACTATCATTTTGTACTGTAGAAAGTCACAGTTTATTACACAAGTTTTAAGTATAAAATCCAGAGTGATTTTGTATCTAGGCTACACGAACAGTTCTTATTACTTTGTAGTTAGGTTTCATATGTTATAAATTCTATAAATGAACTAGCATTCTGTAAAACAATGAAGCAAGAACAGGTAATGATCTTAATATAGAGTTAATATTCTAAAACTAAAATAAAACATAGTTTTTTAATTAAATGTTTTTATAAAACTAGATAATACCTGTATCCAACAGATGGAAAGCTAGAAAGAAAAGGATTTTAAATATGAATACCATGGATAATATGCAATGAGAACCAAGAAGAAGGAAACTTTTACCAGTAAATGTTATGAACATTCTCTCGAAATTATGCAGCTATCCATTTTTACCTAAATTTCTGGAGCTCTATGAATACCCCTGAGGATTACAGATTCCTCCTGGAAATAAACCTGATCGGCACCACATATTTCAGAATTTGAACTTTATCCTAGTTTATGGTACATGTATCTATGGATATATAAAGAAAACTTCTTGGGGCAGTTACAAGGAAATGGAAGTTTGTTTTATATGAAAAGCAACTAAGACATATAGTCAGTTGAAAGATTTTTTAGACTTCACTTAAATTTAATTTCTATTTCTGTTTTGCTACATTTTACCCTCACCTAAAAAAAAAAAAAAAAAAAAACGAATCACATTTTATTTAGATTAGATGATGACTTTTAGCATGGAGTTGGTCACCTTTGTGAATATAAATCTGAGTTAAACCTCATGCTTTGGGATGGGTCCAAGGCAAGTAGGTAACTGACTGCTATCCTTCTTGACAGAGGGAAAACTGGGCACTAAGGATGGTGGGCATTTAAGACATTTCAGTCTAAGGCTGATATTGGGGGGCTACTACATTTGGGTTGGGGGAGGGAGCTCTTATCATAAGATAGGTAAAAAATTATAAAACCCCTGAGATTCCTGATTTGCTGTGAAGCCCCCAGATCCAGAAAGAAGAGGAAAATGGGAAGTGTTGCTCTTTTGCTGACTTAGCCACAGATTACGGAGGTGGGATAGCATGATAGCTGACCCAGAGAATGGATGCTTGTGTTGCCCCCCAAATTCCTATATTGAAACCTAATCCCCAATATTTAGAAGAGGGGCCTTTGGGAGGTGATTAGATCCTGAGGGCTGAGCCCTCATGAATGGGATTAGTGCTCTCATAAACTAGCTAGCTCCTTCCACAAGTGAGCAGAGCAAGAAGATGGCCAGTGATGACCCAGGAAGCCAGCTCTCATCAGACACCAAATCTTCCAGCATCTTGATCTTAGCCTTCTCAGCCTCCAGAACTGTGAGAAACAAATTTCTGTTGTTTATAAGCCACCCAGTCTGGGACATTTTGTTGTAGCAGTCTGAACTAAGACAGTAGCCAAGTGCAAACTTTGCAGCCAGTTTATGTAACCTTGAATCTTGGCTCTAACACTGACTGAGGCCTGAGGCAAATCAATATCAACAGCATAGTATCTAGTCAGTTATTACATGTAAAGTGCTTAAAACAGTACATGGCATACAGTAAGCAGCACAGAAGGGTTCGTTAGCTGTCCTTATTATTAATATTATCTGTAGAATTCAACAGTGGAGTCTGTCTAGCTCCATTGTAAGAGTGGTATGTATGTGCATGGGGCGTAAGGTGGGAAGAGGTGCAAGACCTGAGAAACAAGTTCACTTAGAAACTCCCTGAGGTTCTAAGTACTTGGGGAAAGAGAAGATAAAAGTCTAAAATCGCCTTTATTCAATAACCACCTATTGACTGTCAGCATCATCTCTCTCCTGAGTGGCTCCATAAGGAAGGACTGCCTGCCCTGAGATCAGGGCGCTGCAGAAGGGAACGAGAACTGCTGTGACAGGGCCTTCCCAGGGTCAATTTCTTAGCATGCTGCTCAGGTTTGGGGAAATGGCCTGTTCCAAGTCTCCGGCTAAACCATGTTATTACTCTCCATTAGAAAAGTGACTTTATTTTCCAAACCTTAAACTAAGACACAAGATCCGACAAGAATGAGGGCAGAGAGGTAGAATTTAAAACGTGGAAATGTGTGGTCCTGATTCTCTTAAGAAGCACACATTTATTCTCATGTTTTGTGTGCTTAAACGATCATGGAGTTCCATCTGCCCTGCGTCAGAATGGGTCGTGGAAGATTTCCTTATATAACCAGGGTAGTTCTCACTGTTACTTCCTTGTCATAGCATGGTTTCCTCCCACAATCTGCTTTTATTTTAAAAAAAGGAGATGCTGCATTCTCCCAACACACATCAAATGCAACTTATGATATTTAAAAAACGTATTCCATCACTATAGAATCATTCTTTGAATTTAGAAAATCTTACCATGTTGGAGTCATCATGCATTTTCTTGCCAACAATTCCAGGGCATAGTGGGTGGCGGGTGCTGCAGCGTCCCCCAGCACTGTGCCCACACACACGGCCAACTCTAGCTCATTCCCACGAATCAGGTATGCCATAGCAAGCTTGCTCAATAAGAAAATAATTCCTTCAGTTTCACAGATGCTGGATTGGATCATCATTCCCCGCCAAGCTCATAAAGTAGATAAAGTAGTACTAACCTATAATCAATCATTCTTATAAAATATTGAATGTCATATTCCTATAAAGTACTTATATAAGCATAAATGCAATTTCCAGGTGGAAAACTCGTGATAAAAGGACATACAGGAAATTTTTATAAGGTCAGAATTTAAGTTTAAAAGCCTTAGTAATATTTTTGTAATTAATTCATAACAGTCTTTCTGCCATATCCTCAACATGTCCTTCAATCTATCACAAAACAATGTAAATTCTTAAAAGCTTTTTCAATAGTGTACAATGGTTACCAATTATCCCTTAACTATACTGTATCTAAGGATACATGCAAAACAGAATCCATCTTTACTTCACATTCTTATTAGATTAGTGGGTCAAATGGAAAATACCTTAAAAACAATCTGTGAAGAATATACTAAAGTATACTTAAAAATAAGTGCTTTCAAAAGTCAGGTATTCCGAGTCCCAGTCCAGAGACTTTTCCCTTTACCACATTACTGCTTCTCACACAGGATGAAATACCTAAAGTAAGACTGTTACAAACATGTATCTTGTGATAAAAATAAATAAATTGAAAAAAAAAAAGATCTCATAGTCTGTAGAGTTTATGTGTGCTCAGGAGGCGTGGAAGCTCAGGCTTGGAAAGCACGTACAATCAGATCTCACAGAGAAGTTGCCGTATTTTTTCCAAACACCATGACACATCTTAAGAGCTCTTCATCCACACACACCACCGTGAGCCGTACCTCAGTGTTATCCACAGCCAGCTGGCAACATGCCGCGAGTACGGCACGACCGTCCTGAAAATACCACTCAGCCAGTTCTTCACTGACTTTGCGCAGCAGTCTAGAAAAGAAAATAGTATACATTCTCTATAAACACAAAGATTCCACCATAAAAGGGGCTATTGCCCTTTTATAATGACAAGCTGATTAAAGGATAAAATCGGATTTAATTTGATCTCTTTGATTCAAGTATAAAGACCGATTTTTGGTAAAAAAAAAAAAATCAGGAAAGCAGGCTTGGCAGACAAACTGATAAGTGGGCTCCCCTCCCCCACAAATGTCAGAAGAAAAGCCTAACTTTCAAAATTTACCATCCTACACTGAATCATTTATAACTCAGCTATAGGAACAGTCAACCTTAGAAGAGTTATAGGTTGAACTGTAACTTTTCAGAATATAGGTGGTGACACAAAATACAGGTAGTGTATGTTCAAGTTTAGAAATGAGAGAGAATAGGGGCGCCTGGGTGGCTCAGTCAGTTAAGCATCTGCCTTCGGCTCAGGTCATGATCCCAGGGTCCTGAGATCGAGTCCCGCATCGGGCTCTCTGCTCCGCGGGGAGCCTGCTTCTCCCTCTGCTGCTCCCCCTGCTCGTGCTCTCTCGCTGACAAATAAATAAAATCTTAAAAAAAAAAAGAAAGAAAGAAATGGCAGAGAACAGCAGTGAAGAACCAGGAAGGAGTATGTTGGTCGCAATACATTATTTGCTTAACATTGTATGACTCTTTTTTACTTTAAAAGTTTAAATATCCGGGCGCCTGGGTGGCTCAGTCGTTAAGCGTCTGCCTTCAGCTCAGGTCATGATCCCAGTGTCCTGGGATCGAGTCCCACATCGGGCTCCCTGCTCAGCAGGAAGCCTGCCTCCCCCTCTCCCACTCCTGCTTGTGTTCCTGCTCTCGCTATTTCTCTCTCTGTCAAATAAATAAATAAAAATCTTTAAAAAAAAAAAATGAAAGTTTAAATATCCAATTTTCTAGAGCAATAATTGGAGCCAATAGATGTGGCACGGGAAAGTAGATTATTAAATTTTACAAAGGTCAAAAGGCTGAAGAATTCTAACTTCCATTTCTTTTAAAAACATATGTATCTGGATTTCTTCTTTAAAAGGAGCCTAATTTTATTCCCAACACTAATTCTGGGGGCTTGGGATTATGAACAATGAACAATTATCTACACTGACTTTACAGTGAAACATTAATAAACAGCACACCTGTATTTTCACTGCCCCTCCTTCCTTAAACAGGTTTGATCAGTTTTTAAGTATTTAAGTACTTAGGGGCTTTATTTGCAATCTCTCTACTGAAATGCATTTTGCCTCTCTGGAACCGACACAAAAGTTGCGTGGGCTGCATGTCCATCTCTGTGCCTGAGGTTGCCCTGTTCACATAGGGAGGGGCCGAGATGGCGCAGGACTGTGGTGAAACGAGGCCAGCCAAGCCCTCTGTATGCAGAGAAAGATGAACTGCATGGCTCTCAAAACCTCCTACAGGGAAGCCAACCATTAAAATATGACCCCACGGGGCGCCTGGGTGGCTCAGTCGTTAAGCATCTGCCTTCGGCTCAGGTCATGATCCCAGGGTCCTGGGATGGAGCCCCTCATTGGGCTCTCTGCTCAGCGGGAAGCCTGCTTCTCCCTCTCCCACTCCCCCTGCTTGTGTTCCCTCTCTCACTGTGTCTCTCTCTGTCAAATAAATAAATAAAATCTTTAAAAAAATAAAATAAAATAAAATATGACCCCACGCAAAGAATAAAATGCTCACTCTTTAAAGTCTTCCTTGTAGATATCATCAGAAGATGAAGATCCTTTTGGTGTAGAAACATGTAAGGTCTGCATGTTTCCCTCACAAGCAGCCTGAAATTTAATGAAATCTTTAATTAATTTTTAGCTAATTGTTGATAGCTGACCAATTTCAGAATATTATTTTGATCAAAGTACAGCTGACCCTTGAACAACATGGGTTTGAACTGCGTGGGTCCACTTACATGCAGACTTCTTTTTTTTTTTCAATAAATACAGTACAATCCTGTAAATGTATTTTCTCTTCCTTATGATTTTCTTAATAATGTTTCTTCCCCTAGCTTACTTTATTGTAATAATACAGTATACAATACATATACAAAACATATGTTAATCGACTATGTTTTCAGTAAAGCTTCTGGTCAACAGTAGGCTATCAGTAGGTAAGTTTTGGGAGAGTCAAAAGTTGTATGTGGATTTCTGACTGGGTGGGGTTCAATACCCCTAACCTCTGTGTTGTTCAAGGATCAACTGCTCACTCAAATCGTTTTGAAATCTATACAATTTGGAGATACCCTTAGAATTTGGAAAAAAAAGGTGAACTCCCTTTGTATCTACAAGTACATGGCTACTCGAAAAAGTTGCTCAGCCACATCTGACATTCATCAGCACACGAAAGTTCAGACTTCAGGGCTTCTTGTAGGTCTAAAGTACATTCGGTGTGACCAGACTGTGTGACTGCAATGTGGACAGAGACAGCTGGGAGGTGGGCAAAAGCCAAGCTGTCTACGACTCCGGATCATGTGAAGGCACGTGTGGTCAGTCAACACAGCCTTCCTTCCACACCCCCACCCACCAGGGCATGGAGTTTGTGTGGTTACATCGTCCTACCTGTGCAACAAGCAGAGCTTCTTTAAGCTGACCTCTTGACATAAAAAAGCTGACTAATTTTTTCACATCACCAATGGCAATGCAGTATGGAACGACATCATCCTTATCTTCCTGGATTAACTGATCTGCTCTCCTAATAAAATAAGAACAATTTCTTTTATAATATACTAATTTCAAGGTTCTAGGTTGGACTGAGATTTTCTGAAATATCTGAAATATCTAAAACATTCAAATATTCAAAATATGCGGTAGAGTTCATAAGCCCTTTTGCACATCACTTTTTTTTTTATTCTTATGTTAATCCCCATACATTACATCATTAGTTTTAGATGAAGTGTTCCATGATTCATTGTTTGTGCATAACACCCAGTGCTCCATGCAGAACGTGCCCTCCTCAATACACATCACCAGGCTAACCCATCCTCCCACCCCCCTCCCCTCTAGAACCCTCAGTTTGTTTTTCAGAGTCCATCGTCTCTCATGGTTCACATCACTTTTCTAAAAGCCTCAGATTTTATAATCAAATCAGATATGGAAGACAAAAGTTTTCTGGAATAATAAATACAATAGATACTTGCTTTCTCTTAGAACACTACATATTTTCATATTTTTAAATGCCACAGAACATTTTAGGTCTTAAAATGAATGTAGCTTATCTATTAAAATGAGCAATATATTTTCTGAAAATAAGTTGTAAACTAGATATGCGTGATGGGTTATCCACTTCAACTGCATTAATAAATACACAGGCATCTGCTTCATTAAAGACAGTAGAATTTTAAATGTTTTAGTGATCACAACAATGAATGGAGAGCTTCTAAATATAAGTAGCTTAAAATCATTACAAAAGACAACATAAGAGTATAAGAATTGATAATAAAATACAGAATATTATGAGTGCCCCAAGCAAGGTAGTTTAAAAAAATAATGCTCCCGATATGTGAGGGGAAAACAGGATCCTGATCTTGGAGATGATGAAGGGTATAAGTATGTCTGCTCTGTCTCTCTCTGTATCCCCGTCTTTCTCTTTTCCTAACTAAGTCCCAGGAGTTTCCCAATGATCAACCAAATTAATTCAACTCTTACAGTTTCGTTGAAAATTAATCTGGTCTATTTAACTTATGCTGGCATTTGCATTAAACTACATTAACTGCCAAAAAAAAAAAAAAAAACTACATTAACTGCCAATCTTTGGGTAGGTGTAGCAGACAGATTTTGTTTGCCCAGCTCACTGTTAACAGTCTCCCATTCACAGGGTCACTGGCGTTCTCCCCAACGACTGTTTTTAACCACGTGACCCTGATTTCCTTGTTAGAGGAATAACATCCCCTTGCTAGGAACCAGGGCTCAGATACTGTCAGTTGTGGCATTGTGGGGAGACCATTTTCTGGCCACCAGAGAAAATCAGGTGCTGGTTTCCCAAAATAAATGAAATAGTTTTTGCTGAGGTTGAAACAAAATTGTTTTGTGAAATAAACATCATCTGTTAACTTGACCTTATTAAGGTTTCAGTGGGAGGGATAACATTCACAGCTGTGCAGTACAGGAACTTGGAATTATTTGGGATTCTTAGGACTTAAGATGGGGAGCCTACAGTGGGGGGTGGCTGGAGCCAGCCCGTTGATAAACTTACCACTGGGAAAGCAGGCGCTAGGGAACAGTCTACTTTCCCATGGCAGATATGTTTGTTAACCTTTTGCATTTCATGTTTAGCCTCTGACAGATTTTTATTTGTACATGTGAGCTGCAGTTGATTTTGTTTCTAAATCATGTCCCATGAAAGAAAGTCAAAACTTTCTGATGCCAGAAGCAAGGCAATTACTCGTTAAATAGTACTCTACAGGCTTTAGCACAGAGACTGGCACAAAGTGAACACTAACTAAATAAATATTCACCGAATGAATAGAATAGAATAGAAAACAGTCTTATGTTGTGAGTCGAAATGTGTCTGCCCAAAAGATATGTTGAAGTAGGAAGCCATGATATCTACAGGTGTAACCTTATTTGGAATTACGGTCTTAGCCAATGTAATCAGTTAAGATGGAGTCATACTGGTTTAGGGTAGACCCTAAATCTAATATGGCTGGTATTCACAAAGAAAGATGGAAATGTGAACACAGAGACACACAGGGAATAACACCCCGTGAAAACAAAGCAGGTGTTGGAGTGATGCATCCATGAGTCAGTAAATGCCAAGCATTGCCAGTAACCACCAGAAGCTGGGGAGAAGCATGGAACTGAGTGTTTCTCAGAGCCTTCAGGAGGAACCAATCTTTCCGGCAACCTGATACTGGACCGCTAGCCTCTAGGGCTGTGAGAGAATAATATCCGTTGTTCTAAGCCAACCAGTTGATGGTACTTTGTTGCAGCAGCCGTAAGAGACTAATATATCTCAGAAAGTCTTCTCAGTCATCAGTTCCTCCTTTATATTCATGGACAGGAGATGGCAGGGACTAGTGTCCAGAGAGAATTTCTGAGATTATTTATAGAATAAGTATTCTGTGAACTTTTGGTAACCGTCAGAAAATCTTACCACTTATATTTCAATAGCAATATATTAACCAATAAGTATGTTTACTGATCTGTCAGTCCCTCCACTGACATAGGAAAATCTGCCTTCCACTGTCTCTTTCAGATGTCAGGTCAAATATAAGAACACCAAAATGACTGGTAACTGATTCATTTAATTCACTGTATTAGTAGACATAAAATTCAGCTATTTTTAAAGACAACATAACAGTAAAAAAAATCTCAAAAGCTGCTATCGTATTTATATACTGCTTCCATTTTAAAATATTTTAAAACATGTATTTGGACACAGACTCTCTTTACCTCTGCATTAACTTCTTCCAGTATTTCACAGACACCCCTGGTGCAACTGACAAGGCTTTGTCCCACTAGAATAGAAAAAAAGAAAGGCAAAAACAGGTCTATTTTGATTGCACTAACTCTTCTTTTTTTAAAGATATTATTTATTTATTTGAAAGAGAGAGAGTGTGAGAGAGAGCACAAGCCAGAGGAGGGGCAGAGGGAGAAACAGACTCCCAGCTAAGCAGGGAACCCAACTCGGGACTCGATCCCAGGACTCCTGACCTGATCATGACCTGAGCTGAAGGCAGACGCTTAACCGACTCAGCCACCCAGGTGTCCGATTGCACTAACTCTTAATGGACTTTTTTTTTTTTTTTTAATGAACTCACATGTATAATATGAGTTTCTAGTGTGTTTTTAGAGTGTTTGGATTTCCAGGAATATTTTTGTATTCTATCTGATGCATTCCACAGAGTATAAATATACCACACTTTAAAATTAAGTAAGATATATAAATTGTATTATTTAGCATGGAAAATCCCAAACCTAGAGGGCAGGGGCAGAGTGAGGGAAGGAGAAGAGTAGTAACTAAAGTATGTAGTTTGAAAAATATATTAACTCATCTTCTGACACAACCTCAGAGTAATCTGTTCTATGGTAACTATGTTCTATGTTCAAAATAATACACACTGAAATTTTTACTACACTGTCACTTCTGTTTAACAAATAAGATGTTTATTTCTATTTTTATTCTTTCCTTGTTTTTTATAAACTTTATTTCTTGTCACTTCTTCCTTTATAGTTGATAATACCAATCTTCACATTTTAAAAATTAGACTGTTATTAAAGAAGATCATTGTTCAGTCAAGGCAAGTGGACAATTATATGGAAATATAGATTTCACTGAACTCATGTCTAGAAGGGAGATGAAGGTAAAGTATTCTGAAATATCACAACATGAATCTAAGCTTCATTTTAATTAAGGCTCTCCCAAACAGTAGAATTCTACTGCAATTAAGGCTAGAAAATTGGTAATTAGCCTGAAAATAAGGGGTTAAATTTTCAATAGGTAACTTTTGTTTTGTTTTTATTTAAATTCCAGTTAACATACAGTGTAATATTAGTGTCGGGTGTACAAAATGGGTAATTTTTAATACTATATTATTTGTAGTCATGTTACCTTTTTTTAAAAAAGTAATCTAAAATATATTTTTAGGGAAATTTGCCTTTATTATAGTAGAGGCAAATGGAAGAAAGAAGTTAAAATGTTGGTTAAATTAACTTAGAAATCATCAAGATTTTTCTATAAAAACATGTCTTGTAGGTGAAAAGATTAAATGTTTTCCTAATCTCACAGTATTAATCTCAGAGGAACAGAAACTACGGAAGGAGGTGACCATGAACAATTACAAGGACATTCCTATTTCTCAAGGACTGTAAGCACAGTTCTTTGGATCATTAAGAACATCAATGAAACTGCACAACAACAAAATTCTTAAGCTCCAGAAGTAGATACTTTATTAAAGTATCTTTAATTAAATTTGAATTAAATATAGCTTAGAAATATTATATACCCAGATATAAAACTGAGGAAGATGAAGAATTAGTATTCTGTCAAAATTTATTATTCTTTTTCTCCTTGACTAGATATTCTTTTTAAAGATTTTATTTATTTATTTGAGAGAGAGAATGAGAGACAGAGAGCACGAGAGGGGAGAGGGTCAGAGGGAGAAGCAGGCTCCCTGCCGAGCAGGGAGCCCAATGCGGGACTCTATCCCGGGACTCCAGGATCATGACCTGAGCCGAAGGCAGTCGCTTAACCAACTGAGCCACCCAGGCGCCCCTTGACTAGATATTCTAATAGAGCCTTGTTAAAAGGGTAACTTTTAAGACACCTCAACTTCTTCAGAAGTAAAATTTTTATATTGCTCCTAAACCCTTTATAGTTTGCAATACCTTAAAAAAAATTTTTTTTAATTTCTTTAGAGTGAGAGAGAGAGAGAGGGAGTGCACGCACAAGCGCAATGGAGGTGGGTGGGGCAGAGGGAGACAGAGAGAGAGGATCTTAAGCAGGCTCCATGCCCAGCACAGAGCCAGACTTGGGGCTCGATCTCATGACCCCGAGATCATGACCTGAGCCAAAATCAAGAGTCAGACGCTTAACCAACTGAGACAACCACGCACCCCTTCCTTTTCAGTAACATTTTTAAATGACATTTTGTCTTAGGTCAAGCAGTAATTCATTATTTGCCTCTAGTGTATGGGGGAATAAAAAGGTGAGTTAAATTTAATTTTGATGTATTTTAATGTAACTTTATTGCTTAGTTTTACTTTATATTATTTATTAGTACACTTAATAGCATGCTTTGTAATTATAAAATTAACTTAGAGCTTTTCAAAATGATCAACTATGAAATGACTCCATGCCATTCTAATTTTTTTTTTTTTTTGGAGGGGTGGGAGAATTTTTCTTGAGCTAAAATGGCTGTTAATAAAAATGAAAAGCTTCATAAATTTGCACAAAATGAATACATTCAAGTAACCAGCACCCAGATCAAGAAACAGAAGCTCCTTCCCCCTTTTGTTCTATTTTATTTACCACCCACTTTTCAAAAGAACCACTATCTTGAATTTTAATAGGATAGATTCATCTTAACCTCTTTTGAAAACTCTGTTTTGTTGAATCAGTCCTCTAAACAATCAAGATGTGCCTTAGAAGCATCTTTCACCAGATGATCCTCAATGAAAACCTTCTTCTGGCCACTGTGGGGTTTAGTCACGACAAACAGTATTAACAAGGGGAGTCCACCGTGTGCCACTCAGCCAACATGGGTATTTATGGGGTATCAAAGAGCCTACCCTTAGGGCAGTGATTCTCAAACTTTAGCATGCATGTGAATAATGTGGAGAGCTTGTAAAAGCACAGATCATTGGGCTACATCCCCGGGGTTTCTGATTCTGTAGGTGTGGGGCGGGACATGCATATCTAACACGTTTCCAAGTAATGCTGATGCTGCTAGTCCAGGTGATCTCACTTTGAGAAGTACTGCTCAGATATACACCTGATACCAGACCAGCAGAGAAGCAAATAGATCTGGAAAAAGAGAAGCTTAATATTTAGCATTTCACCAAGACTTAGAATACTTTGTTAAACTCACTGATTTTAGCACTTTACCTCTCCAAGTTCAACCATCAGTTCACAGTATCTCTGAATTTGTCCTAATCTCAAATGTATGTCAGCAGCTTCCTTCAGCCTTTCCTCTTTAGTGGGGACACCAATACCACCACCAAATTTAGACATCTTGACTGTTGTCAATTCTTGGGCTTCAGACTGGTTAAAAAGAAAATAAAATTTTCTAAATTTTGTTATACAAGAGCTGGTGATAACAGATGATTATAAAAGCATTACAGGGGCATATATTTTAAAAAGCACGTAGCACTGGAAATTAAATATTCTAAAAAATCAATACTTTTTCTCTATAAAATATGATACCTCTTCCAATATAATATTTTGGTGTGGGTGCAGGGTAAAGAGTGGATGTGTCTGGTGTGGGCAGGGAGAGGCTAAACCCCATTGTCCTTAAAACTCACCAGGTGTTGTGGTTCTATAGACGTTCAGGGGCCAAAAGGTCATGAGAGATAAAGTGATATATAACTAGTGAAAAAATGTACAAAAGTCTGAAATAAAAATAAAAAATGACAGGCTCACTCTAATTGGCTCCTGTACTGGCAAGAGGTAAGAGCTGTTGTCCTTAGGTGGTGGTGTGACTACACAAAGTCCTCCTTTATGAAAATAACTGTTTCGTATGACCCTCAAATCCACATCTCTGGCCCAGTACTCATGCTCTAACAGCTAAGTTAACCATGATATTTCATTGCAAATATAAGAGCTACTTCCTCTTTCTGGTCCCAGCACCGGTGTGTTGATACTGGATATCACTCCATGCATAAGGTCACTGATAATTTTGAAATGAAATCCATTAAGAGTTCTAACATGGCCAGTTTTAATAAAACATATCCCAAAATACAGTCTATCAGGCCCTTGAGACTAAAGTCAGAGTGGTCCACATGTCACAGTCATCTGGTAATAGGGTAAAGCATTTCAAGTAGTTCCAAGTGACCTTTGAAGAAATTCATGAGATTCGACCTATGGGAACCAAGGCTGCCTTAATCTGGTCTCAGATAATTCAGACTCTCATGATCAGTTTTCACTGAAAATTTATCTCCTCAGTGTTCACTTACTTCAGGCTACTCACTGTAATTCTATAAATTTTTCAAAATAATTCTGGTATTTCAACAGTGAAAAGGCAAAAATAATTTCTGCTTGAGGACATGATCCTTGCATACTTCACTTACCGTTCTAAATTTAATCAGATGCTTCAAATGCATTATTCCTTTACAGTAGTTCTGAGGAAGCAGGCTGTCGTCCTGCCCTCTGATCACAGCAACTAAGTTCCACAAATTGTCACTGCCACCTGGAGGCTAAAAGGTTGATACAGAATAACCAAAGATATAATAATGCATTCAAAACCCCACAGAATTTTGCATTTTCAAAAATATGATGCAGGCATATCTAAGTTGAAAAATTAACCAAATAATAACAATAATTGATCTCCTTTATTGTTTCTGGTTTGCATTTGCTTTCTTACTCTGCACCAACTATGCTCAGAGGGACCAGGTGAGCTGGGATGATACATGTAAATATGTGATAATGGTAAGACTTGCAATGATTCATTTTGACTACAGGGAAAATGTTCACATTTAACTCCTGTAATACTCACGGATAAACATTCTGAAAACCATCTTAGTTTTTTTGCTCGAGGATTACCAGTTAGTTTCTCTATTTCGTGTTTAATCTCTCTTGATACTTTACCACACAAAAGAGGAGGAGTGCCTTGTGCTGTAGCATGATCTAAAGAACAGACATAATTCAGTGAGAAAGGATTGCTTGTAAGATATTATTTAAAAACAAAATCTAATAGATGCTTATTTTCAATACCAGTGTTCCCGATAATTTCTTCCCAAGATCTGTCTGCCAGAATATTTATTTGTAGAGGAGTGATTAAAGGTGTTAACGACCAGAGTCTCACTGTAGAATCTCGGGAGCAAGAGGCCATAGTGAAGGGGCGGCTCGGATGACATGTTAAACCTGATGGAAAAAAGAAACCTATTTCAACTAAAGTAAACACTGAAAAATATTACTTATCTATGCGTACCTCGTAAAACTACAGAATTTAAGTTATATAGAAGTGTTTTGAAATAGCATTTCTATTTCGGCTGAAAATGATACAAGCATATATTATTTAGCATATTCTATAAATACAAATAGAAAATTGAATAATGATTAGCAAATGGTCCTGGATGAAAACGTTGAAACTGCATTTCAGTTGGTTCAGCAGCAAGCATACCTGTCACACCAATGGAGTCATGGTAACCTGTGAGGTAATGGATGGATGGAAGTTCTAATTACAAGAAGAAAGAGAGTTGGGACCTTCCAGTTTAGAACATCCAGAAAAAGGATTCTCTCCCACACTCAGCCCCTCTGCCTCAACTGAAAGGCCACTGAGGTAAAGTATATGGACCCAAGTGCCTAGAGTGGGGTGACTTTCTCTAAGGAACCATTTTCATCTTCTTAATTCACCACTTAGGGCCACTGAGGTTTGGGTCTATAAATGAAAGTGACATGCAAAATGCAAGAACCCTGAGTCCTATACCCAGCTTAACTGTATTTAAAGACTTACTATTATATTAAAAAGCAAAACATTTTCCTAAATATCCAAGAGTAGAGATACAGGAATGGCTAGAGAAGTTATATCTACTTTATCACTGATTTCCTGTTTTCCAAGGTCCTTCTGGAGTGATGGTAAAGGAAGGGAGAAAAATCCAAGCTACATGTGTGTGCATGTGTGTGCACACAGAAACACAAATAATTTCTCATGACATTTTGGATTATCTTCTGTGTATTCTGATATTTCAATAATAAACAAGTACAGTTTTAATAAGAATGTTATTTTAAAATGAAACACCGTAAGCTTTCTTAAAAAAACACTGTATTTCTCAGAGATGATAAACTTCATTAATACAGCAAAATTTAAAAGTGCATGAAAAACACTTTACCATATACATCTGCTCCATGGTCATAAACAGTATCCAAACACGTTCCTTCTCGAGTGTCCCATACTTTTATAGTGTAGTCCCAGCTGCCAGATATGAGTAGATACGGAATCTCAGTATTCCACATTAATCCCCTCACAGGCGCAGTGTGGCCACTAAGAATGTTTATGCAAGCATCTTGAGTATAATCCCAGATTCGAACAGAACTGAAAACAGAATATTATGTATATAATACCTTTCAAGTTATAATTTGTCTGAAGTACTGACACATTCTTAGTGGAGCACAATTATTTCTCAGTAAATTGAAAAAGGATTTTAAGTTTCAAGGTATGTTACAATTCTTTTCTTTATAGCAGATGAAAATGAAAAACTAACTAGGCTAGAGCTAGCCTATTTCGATATTTTGTTTCCCTACTTTAACTGGTCCTTTCCTACTGATCCTAAAGCTACTATTTCAGTTTATAGACTTAAAAAATTTCTTTCTTAAAGTGAAATATCCAGAACAGATAAAGCCAAAAATATTACTAATAATATGGATATAATAATTTAACAACACTCACATTATTTGTAAATCATGAAAATATAGCATGTATGATGATGGGTATTATTTGAAAAATCAATTCATCTTTATGCTCCTATCACAGAGCAAATCATTCCTGCATGTTTTGGTCAATACAATAAGTTGGCTGACTATTTTATAGTTATTCTAAAATCAAGTACAAAATTTAAATATAACTGGATTCATGATATTACTTGAATCTACCAATTGTACAAAGCAGAAATGTTATTGAAATAAAATTTGAACTCAGAATCAATTTAAGACCTCCAAATGCCAACTTAATTCATAATAATTTTTAGTTGCAGATTTATATTAACCTGACAATGCCAAAATATTAATACTTCAAAGGTTATATTACACTATAAAGGAGACACATTATATATTTTTTTATTTCTTTAAGGCATATTTATATCTGCTTTCTATGAAGACTCACTTCTTTTTCCCCTATCCTGGTACCTGTGTCCAGGCATATCACAACCTAATTTTGTGCTAAATCCTTATGCTAGCATTGAAGTTATTTTGGTTAATATCATGCTTTCATAAATAAGCTAATGTTAAAGTGAGATGTATCAAAATACTTTAATGTTATCATAAGAGATACTAGAACGGGAGTTCTTGCTTTATGACATAATTTAGATTAAGCAAACATCAGGCTAACATCATAATTATATTTTGTAGTCAAGCACAAGAAAAGCTTTATCTATCCACCACTGTACAAAAGCATTATTTAAAAGACAGCATGTTATCATCTATATAGTCATATAAAGGGACCAACAACCAGAATTACAAAAGACTTTCAAGTTCCATCACCATAATTAAGTAAAATGCTTACTGCTATCTTTCTGACAAATATTTCCTAGACAATGGTTGAAGATTATACTTTTTTTGATGTAGCAATAGAATTTAGACACTGAGGTCTATGTTAAGAGACAAAAAATCTCTAAGTCAACTCATTCACTTGGACACGATAACCTTACTGTAAGTAACATTTCCAGTGATAACCCACAGAAATCTTACAATTGCTTTTCTTAGGAAATTTGGACGGATGCCAAAATTTCAAGATGAAAATAATCAATTATTCAATATTAAACTTGTGGCTACTGTATAGTATGATTTCTATCTGCATAAAGTAAGATTTTTCTTACCTAAATTTATCTCATATTCAAATAGGGACCAAACTATGCAAAATCTATCCTGTTTGAATATAAAATAGAGACAAGATTTCAGTAACTTTTTCACAAACCCAGAAAAAAAATGTTAAATCACTCTCACTTCTAAATAAATTATCTTCATGCTAAAAATACATGATCATCTTCTTGTTTTCTATTCTTAATGAAAACAGAGTACAGCTGTTTTCCATATTAAATATCAGGACATTACTAAAAATAAACTCTTCTCTATATTTTACAGAGATTTGTTTGTTTCAAGTCTTTTTTCCCTTTCCAATCTGATCCTTTTGAAATTTTTGTTTCTGTTAACTCTGTTGCTAATAAGATAGAAATAAGCATCCATAATAAGCAAAACAAGTAAGGAAATAGAAATCATGAATATGATAATAACATAAGCATGGCAAAATTTAATTTACTATGGTTAAATGCAATTAGGTAATTGTTAACTGCTTATACATCCTTGTTTTATGTACATATTTAAAATATTTCCACCCATAAGTTGGATCATATAAATACATACATTTCTAGAAGATTATAAGCTTATGATTTTAAGGACTAAAAAATTAGAATCCAAAAATACATACCCATCATCAGAACCACTACAAAGAATTCCTTCGCTCAGAGGAGACCATTTAACATGGAACACTTTTGCAGTATGTCCACTAAATACTTTCAGTGGTTGATCAGAGCTGGTGGCCACATAATAGACACGAACATTTTTATCTTCACAGCCAGTGGCTATCATGTCTCTGAAACATCATCAATGGCACATTAAAACATGAAAAAAATTGATATTGTTATAATTTTAAAATGTACACAGTTCTAATTTTTAAAACTACGATTTTTTGCTTCCTTAATGAAGTTAGACCTAAAACTCACAGAAGTAAAACCATTATTCCCAGAAACTTCCTTAGTGCAAAGAGTTTTATATTCTCCTTTAGTCAGTTGAATTTTTAGTTTTTAATCTTAGATCAGAGATAATGGAATTCATATTTCTCTAAGTTCTTTTTAAAAATGTCCAGATTCATAACTTCTTGAATATTTCTCAGATCTTTATATTTCACAACTGTTGGGTCTTAACAAGGGTCCCCAGTGGTGAGCGATTGAGATTTGCTTCCTTGCTGGTAAGCAAATTATTAATCACTACATGCCCTGACCACTGGTAAATTTTTCTGTGGCATGAGCACAAATTGCAGAGCTTCCCCTGAAGGATGCTGGAAAATCTCCCCACAGACCAGGGTTGTCCCATCTCACAGAAAGTCACAGTCTTGGTTTCCCAATTGTCTCTGGTGGTTGCACCAGCTTGAGATAGATGCTTTAACTGTTTGTTCCAACTAAGGATCCTCTGTAACTAAAATATGTGGATATGATCTTTTAATAATCTTTGTTTGTTATTCTCAAGCGAGTGAGAGTAAACTAAGCAACCGTTACTATCTATTTACATCCTTGTGGTCATACTTGGAACACTGTTCCGAATGGAGTTAGGACGACTAGGAAAGAACTGTGGAAATCATGCCCGAAGTCTCCCTTCCAGAATGTAACTCCCTATGTTTAACAATCATACAAACAGCCCTCATGCTCTAAATGGAAGTTACACATTTTGGCCCAACTGTTTCCTCAAACTTCAAATTGCTAATTTTTGTCATGTGGGTTATAATACTTGCATTTATTTAAGCCCACATGCATAAATACACCAGTTTGCAAACTGGCATGCCAATCTGCATGTTATTACATCTGCCTAAGTCCCACTGACAAATGGGCCAGTCTCTACATGTGGGAAAATACACTTTGCATAATGCAAATATTTACATGTATACATGAGTATGTTTTTATATATGTGTATATGGACACATGAATGTAAAATCTTAAAAATTAAATAATAAACATTCAAGGAATGTACATATAGATATCCAAATTATAAATTCAGAGATATCTTATGAATAAACTTTTGTAAGTTCAAGGTATTTTTCACATCTCTTAAGGGGCTACGTAAAATATGGATACTGCTATTCGAACATTTTTAAAAGGTTTTTAAAAATAAAAATGAAATTTATTAGGTATACTTGGTAGTAAGCATAAAAGTTAAGTATAAAAGACCTTTTTTTTAACCAACAAAACATATTGCATTAATATCTACTTTTTATTTCAACTGGTCAAATGCTTACTAACCTTACAGAACAGAGAAATAAGAATGTGGAACTGTTCTACTAATCAGATACAAGATAATTCTATCCATTTGTATACTGAAGAAATACTTTTTAAATTTCTACTTTCTTCTAGGCACAGAGAGGGTTAGAAGCAGTGTTTTGCTAAGAATATACTGCTAAAAATAGGTAACACAGTTGCTGATCTCATGGACCTTACATTTTAGAGGGCGAGACAGCAAATTTCCAACTAAAATTTAATTATGGTTTTCAAAATTATATGTACTTATATTACTCATATGGTTAATCGTTATGTGTCAAGTAATTCATAGTTGATTTTTTTTCATCATGATAAGTGTACTCTTCAATATCCATCCCATATTTCCCCCATCTCTTCACCCACCTCCCTTCTGGTAACCATCAATCTGTTCTCTACAGTTAAGAATCTGTTTCTTGGTTTGTCTCTTTTTGTTTTTCTTTGCTCATTTGTTTTATTTCTCATATTCCACATATGAGTGAAATCGTATGGTAATTGTCTTTCTCTGACTTATTTTCCTTAGCGTTATACTGTCTAGCTCCATCCATGTTGTTGCAAATGGCAAGATTTCATTCTTTCTTATGGTTGAATAATATTCCATTGTGTATTTATACATATATATACCACACCTTGATTATCTATTCATTTTAACATTTGCTCTTCCAACCCATTGAGCATGGAATGTCTTTCCATTTCTTTGTGTTCAATTTCTTTCATTAGTGTTTTATAGTTTTCGGAGTACAGGCCTTTCACCTCTTTGGTTAAGTTTATTCCTAGATATTTTAATTGTTTTTGGTGCAATTATAAATGGGATTGTTTTCTTAATTTCACTTTCTGATGCTTATTAGTGTATAGAAGTGCAACAGATTTCTGTACATTGATTTTGTATCCTGCAACTTTATAGTAGTTTTTTGGTGGAGTCTTTAGGGTTTCCTGTATAGAGTATCAGGTCATCTGCATATAGTGAGAGTTTTACTTCTTCCTTGCTAATTTGGATGCCTTTTATTTCATTATGTTGTCTGATTGCTGTAGCTAGGACTTCCAGTACTATGTTAACTAAGAGTGGTGAGAGTGGACATCCTTGTTTTGTTCTTGACCTTAGGGGAAAAGCTCTAAGCTTTTCACTATTGAGTACCATGTTGGCTGTGGGCTTTTCATATGAGGACTTTATTATATTGAGATATGTTCCCTGTAGGCCTACTTTGCAGAGGGTTGTCATGAATGGATATTGTACTTTGTACATTTCATCGATTGAAATGATCATATGGTTTTTATCCTTCCTCTTATTGATGTGATGTATCACGTTGTCTTGCAAATATTGAACCAACCTTGCATCCTAGGAATAAATCCTACTTGAAGGTGGTGTGTAATTTTTTTAAATATATTATTGGATTCGGTTTGCTAGTATTTTGTTAGGGACTTTTGCATCCATATTCATGAGAGATATTGGCATGTAGTTCTTTTTTTGTGGTGTCTTTATCTGGTTTTGGTATCAGGGTGACACTGGCTTCACAGAATGATTTTGGAAGGTTTCCTTCCTCTTGTATTTTTTAGAATAATTTGAGAACAATACATATTAACTCTTTTTTAAATGGTAGAAATCACGTGTGAAGCTGTCTGGTCCTGGACTTTTGTTTCTTGGGTGTTCTTTGATTACTGATTCAATTTCATTGCTGGTGATTGGTCTGTTCAAATTTTCTGTTTTTTCCTGCTTTAGTTTTGGTAGGTTATACGTTTCTTGGAATTTATCCATTTCTTGTAAGTTGCCCAATTTGTTGGCATACAGGTTTTCATAATATTCTATTATAATTGTATTTCTGTGACATTGGCTGTTATTTCTCCTCTTCCATTCATTATTTTGTTTATTTGGGTCTTTTTTTTTTTAATGAGTCTTGTTAGAGGTTTAGCAATTTTGCTGATCTTTTCAAATAACCCAATTCCTGGTTTCATTGATCTGTTCTATTGTTTTTTTTGTTTTGTTTTGTTTTGTTTTTTAGTTTCTATTTTCTTTCTTTCTTCCTTCCTTCCTCCCTTTTAAGATTTTATTTTTAAGTAATCTCTATACCCAACATGGGGCTAGAACTCACAACCCCTGAGATCAAGAGTCACATGTTCCACTAACTGAGCCAGGTAGGGACCCCTCTATCATTTATTTCTGCTCTAATCTTTATTAATTTTATTTGTTACAATTACTTTTATTATGTTAAGTGCTCCCAGGATATCATAGAAGAAATTTACCTAACATGGGGGTCAAGAAACACTTTTCTGTAGAAGTGATTTGGTGCAGAGAGCTAGAGTATAGGTGGGTGTTACCTATATACAATACAGAAGGGTTGTACGGTGTGGGGTGTGGAACAGAATCCTAGATATAGGGAGACAGCATGAGGGAAAGCTTTGGTATGAAAATGAGCTGACTAGTTCAAGAAACTGAAAGCCAGTGTGGCTGGAATACAAAGAACAAGGGGGAGCCAGGCTTGAAATGGCATGACTAAAACACACAGGAACCAGATTATACAAGGACTTCCCTGAGGGGCTCCTAAGATTTTGCATTTTACCCTACAATCAATGTAAGCAATGAAATGGTGCACTGAGATCTGGTTGTTAAATACTCTGACTTCAACATAAAGAAGGTAGGGCAGGGAGACAAGGAAGTGGTGACGAAGAATATGAATTCTGGAATTGATTTAGAAGGTTTTTGAGGAAGTCCAAAAGCAAACAAGTATTACTGGTTTATGGCAGGGGAAGGGAGTGGTCGGAAAAAGAATATTTAGATGGATGATATCACAGGAATTGATGGCCGACTGGAAATTGAAATAGACAGATGACAAGGTATAAGAGAAGAGGCCAAGGATTTTGGCTTCGGCAGCTTTGTTGTGAACATTATCAGGCCACTTAGATGGGGAATCCTGGGGGAGGAGCTGGGCACGAGCTCACTTTGCATAAAACCTCTAACAGTGTGTTATAAATTCTTCCATATTACTGAAAAAAAATATATAGATCCATCATTTTGTATGTGATTTGACTCAGAACACAAGTATAACAAGGTTTTAATATTTTAATATGTAGATTTTCCACTTGCAATATGGAAGAGCATAATTTCACATTATTTTCACAATATCTAAAGAAAGTTTGAATCTTTAAGTATAACTTACATAGCATAAAGAGAGGTTTGAAATGCAAGATTCTTGGAAGTGCAGTGACTTGAAGGATCAATTTTAGTGGGGGTTTGACTTGGATTGATTTTTAAATCTGAGCTGATTTTTACATGGTAAATACTAGGCTCATAAGCAAGGATGACCTTTCAAAACTATGTACATAAGTTCTACATTTTAGGAAATCATCCAATGTCAAGGCATTAGCATTGGGGGGGGGGCGGTGGGCAATGGAAAGTTGTGGCGGAGTAATACCATTGGCAAGATTCCTAAAAGGGTTTAAGGAAAGGGCTACATACACTTCCATGGTAGAAGCCACATACAGATGAGACTAAATTTCCATTTTTTATTAGTTAGTCCTATGCTTCTTCCTAAAGCATCAGCTAACATAAACAATTACAAGGCTAGACAACAAGAACATTAACTAAATAGTGATGAGTATTACCTGTGAGAATAACATTAAACTTCATGCTTATTTAAAATCTCAGAAATTATAATTTATCTTTGGAAAAAAAATTCTTACTTGTTGTTTTGGCTCCAATCACAACCAAATACCGCAGCTGGATGTTTGTATTTGTGTAGCACTTTACCATCAATTGTTCGAACGATACTGAAATTAAGTATAATATGTTAACAGAAAAAACATTCTAAATACATTGTTCACAAAAACAAAGCCAGAATTGTATAATTCAAAAATAAGTTTTTTAGGATAGAGACCTTGTCTTCAAAGCACAGAGAACATTTAAAAGTACTGAGTAAATGATATTATCAATTATGAGTGAGTATATTTACATAAGACAGTATTAATTATGGCAATCCACTTAAATTAATTTGAAGGTGATAAATTTTGATTTAGAAACTACTCCTTATAAAATATTTTTAGGAAAAACATATATTTTTTTAAGATTTTATTTATTTATTTGACAGAGAAAGAGAGAGAGAGAGGGCACAAGCAGGGGGAGTGGCAAGCAGAGGGAGAGGGAGAAACAGGCTCCCAGCTGAGCAAGGAGCGGGACGTGGGGCTTGATGCCAGGACTCTGGGATAATGACCTGAGCTGAAGGCAGATGCTTAACCAACTGGGCCACCCAGGTGCCCCAGGAAAAACATAGTTTAATACATACATTTTCAAACAATGCTATAACTAACATACGCATTCGATTTTCAGCTTCAAAATTTAGCAGTTCAAAATTTGTATTTTGAACAACTCATTTATAATGCAAGTTGCATGTACTATTCCACCAAGTCAAGGACACGTAAGTTGTAACATTGTTGTGGCATGTTCTAAGTGTATAACTAGAAATTTAGAGGATCCCTTCTCCCCCAAATATATATTTTAGCTGCAAAAATTAAAGAAGCTCTAATACCCAACTATATCATTGCCATAACACAGGGCAATTGATTCCAAAAAGGAAAAAAGAAGAAGCGGTGTATAAATTAATGTATTACAGGGTTTTAAAAGTCTTTAGAAAAGATCCTCTAAAACAACAGTAGGCCAGACTTCTGAGGCTACTGGTGGTGACCTATGCTTACAAATGTTTAGTCATTACCTGTGGTATTTATCAGACCAGTGGTGTCCTGAAAGTACACGGTAAAGCTAACTGTGTATCACCTTATCAAAAAACTCTGAGGCACATCTTTCCTATTTTGGTATTTATCAATTAGCAAAGAGTTCTTTTCAGGGAAAAAAAATCACTAATTTGCTTATTTCTGGAAAATTTCAACTTCCTGGTGAAGATCTTTGGTTTCCATACGAACTGTCTTTTTCACTGAAATTAAAGAAAGGATGAGAAAATTGGGCCGGGTACTGCAAAACCCACCAGGAGACCACCTCTACTATGTCTGCAGCAACCGTGCATGTCTATACCGCCTGTCAAAGATAATACTACTTAGAGCAGCCCAATAGCTCAAAGGCAATTCTTCCCTTACATATATTCCTTGGAAACCTACTTTTTCCTGGGACTTAACAGAATTAAGAGAGCACTTATTTCTGACACAGAAGGTCAGAGACGTTAGGCATTTCCCACATGCATTACCTTAGTCCTCATTGCAAAGGCTGTTCATCCTTTTATAAACAACGGCATCTACAAAAGGTGCACAGGTTTCTAGAGCACTTGATATCTCTTGAATCACTTGTAAAACTGAAATACCACTTCCTCAAAAATGTGATGAGGATTAATTAGACTCTTGATGAAAAGTTCTTAAAGTTTCTTTGAGGCAATTCACAGTATGTTAGTTACAACTCCGGTAGTATCTTCATTTAGAAAGAAATTACTGGTTTATTTATTTTAAACATCACCGCACTCTTCAGTGCTGATTTAGTACTGATACGGCAACACGGCATGTGCCCGTATGGGCTTATACGCTGGTGAGGGCTGGTGCAGCCGTGCAGATGGAATCGCACTGACTACTCTGATGTATGTGCTAACATGACACAATGGGTATTATCAATACATCTTTCGTAAGCAGTGTAACTTCATACATAGTACTTACCAGAAACCATCACCACTGCAGGTGGCTATTCTTTTGGAGTCTTTATGACTCCAGGCAACGCAGAATATTCCATCTTTTCCATGCTTCAAAAAATGCAAAATACCTATCAATAAAAAATAATTCACCCCTTTTTTCTCTTATTTATTTACTTCTTCTAGGATTGCTTTTCCGTTAGGAACTTACTCTAGACGATGCTAACAGAGTAGTATTACTATCAACAGCAGGAAGTGGAATATAAAAGCTATCACACTTAAAAAACAAACCCCTGTGTTAAGATATCAATTAAGTGGCTCTATTTCTGTTTCGCAGACACTGGTAGAGAGCCAGGATCTGCAGAGGAAAGCCGTGCTTAATGCCTTTTCCAGAAGTCCCAGTGTGCAGAGGAAGACAGGGATCTGTCTGCTTCCTGACCCAGTGCCACCACGAGTACAGTGTAAGAAACGCCGCAAGCAATTGTTATTACTGGTTGTTCTCCCAAATCTCAACGTTTTCTATCTTATAAAAACAAAGGAGAAGGATTTAAGGCTCTTCCTGTAACACAGCAGTCTATTTGACCCGTTCCTCTGCCTTCTTGGGACTGGGGAAGGAAAGGGTTGTAGTCACAACCAGTATGAGGGGCCTTTGTAAAACCACAAGGAATATATTATACATGGGAATGTCATTCATCCACTGGGACATGGGTGAATAAAGGTTGCAAGCAATCCATTTCCAACTTTTATTTAACTTTATAGAGCAGATCAGTTTTGGCTGCAGCTAAGGAGAGACTAAAGTGACTTTTTATCTTGAGTTTGAAGGTGACTTTACTAAAGTGGTCTCTAGTTTGCTGTTCTTTCCTCTTTTGGGGTCAAGGGGGGTAGCTGTATAAAGATGGGCACAAAATGCGGTAGTCTCTACACTCACGTAACTGAAGGAGTGGAGGCCTCCCGTCAGCTTCGTTTAGCCCAAGAAAAATGCAACTTAGGGCTTCTAAGACCCTGCATCTCCTTCTGTGAGACACACGTAACTCAGTTAATTACAACTGACCTTGCCCCATAGTTATTACCCTAGATTTAAGTACTTTTTCGATCAGTCTCGACTATGCTCCTGAATGCTGGGAAGACATGAATAGGTGTGAGAGACACACCCCTGATGCTAGGATGCCAGTCGCCCGGAGTCAGGGTGGGGCTGGGCAGTGCTGATAGGCAGATATTTGAGTTCTCAAGAGGCCAAGATGCCGCAAGACGAGATCAACAGAAGTGACACCTAAGGATAACGTCTTTGAATTTAGGTCAAAAGTTTCTTTCTCAGATTCATTTCTTTTCTTTTTACATGACTATTACAGAATCAGTGCTGTTCTTGATGGGAGGGCAGAGGGCAGGTTGGGGGCACTGTTGAACTGAAAGTATTGTTATGTAGAGAAAGGGAGGGAAGTAACTATACAGGCCTTTGTCAAAGCTTCCTCTTTGGAGGGCAAAATTGCTTACTGGTGTTTGGTAAAGTTTTCCTAATACTCTGCATTTCCCACATTACTTTAGTGTCCCCTAGATCAAAGCTGCTTGATCCTCAGAGGAAAATCAGTTTTTTGTATAAATGGCTTTAAAGTCTCAAATATAAGCTATTTTCAAATAAATTATATATTCAATAAACTCCAACAGTAGTCATTTGAAATGAATGAAATTTCAAAAGAGAGATCCTTTCCTATTTCCCTTGATTCATATCTAACATATTATAATGAGATTACATGCAGTTTCCAAATATTAGTGGAACTCAGTAAAATGTGGGATGACAATTTAACTCCAGGCAGAAGTCAAGTACAATCTGTATGATTACAAGCAGGAAGAGGGGAGGTTTTAGTGCTTGTCATGGAGAATTTGAGAGGTGGAAGGAAGTCCAAGAAACTGTATAATCCAACTTCACCATCTTATAGGTGAAGAATCAGGTTCAAGACATTAAAGAATTCTCCCTATGTGAAAAGCTAATTGTAACAGAATTTAGACTGTAATTTGGAACTTGTTCCGAGTTTAGTCTTTTTACAACTATTAAATATTTGCCCAGATAATTTTGTGGAAGATGATTCAGAATTCCTTTGAATCTCTAATGCAACTTTAGGTGAATTCTTGTATCTTAGACCCATCTACGTTTTTCAGAATTCATTTCAACATGTGTATGTTCTCTTGGATTTTTTTTTCCAAGTGATAGAACATAATGTCACCTGGTGATTATTAAATTAAGAGAGAAAAGCATTTACAAAACATGAGGCAGTATAAGACATTATACTATTCAGCCAGTAATAAATACACCTTACCTCATTAAATCGTTGCACCATTTTGCCCTTTTTAACATCCCAAATAAAAGCACCATTTCGGGAAGTTGCTCCAGCAATACAATTTAAATCACCTTAGGAAACAATTTGTTAGTCCTTATATGAAATGTTTGCCACACATGTAATTCTTTTCAAAATATCATTTTTGAAAAAGACTTGGAATTTACAAAGTAGTTTTTTTAAAGTTTTTTATAATGAAAATTATCAAACGTATAGAAATAGAGAATAGTATAATGAATGTACCATCATACAACTTCAACAATTATCAAAATATGGTCACTCTTGTTTTGTATATAGTCCCTCTTGGGTTTCTTTGCAGCAAATCTCTGACATTCTATCATTTCATCAATAAATACTTCAGTACAAATGTCTAAAAGACTCTTTCATTAACATGACCAAACTATCACAATCACAAATACAAAAATTATCAATAATTCTTCAATACTATCACATATCCAGTCAGTATTTACATTTTTCTTTACACTGCATCTAGTAAGGTTTTTTTTCTTTCTAATTAGGAAAACATTTCTAAAAGCAGAACACATGAAAAAATTCAGGTTTTTAAAATCAAAAACATAAACAATGCTCTTTGTTTTTAACAAATAAAAAAATCTGTGAAAATCAAAGTGCTGCTAAGTTAGTAGATGATCTAGTACTTAAGAATTTCTTGCAAGGCAGTCAAAGAAGAGGCTTTCTCCATTAAAAAAAAGGAACAGTTTTCCTGTGCTACCTACGAGTAAAACATGGAAGAAATACTTTGTGATAAATGATTATAAACCTAAAAAAAAATAAGTCCTTACCGTATTTCTAGTATTTTCATTCTGCTCCCCTTGTTGGGTTCTCAAATTATTGAGGAGGAGTTTCCATATTAATTTGTACTTTTTTTTTCTTTTCCTGTGGTTGCTATTCTAAAATTACAGCAAGTTATGCAATCCTCTATCCTCTACTTCCATCCCTATCAACCTTCGTTAATCTTTTAAATTTTATCCATACTTAGCTAAAAGTAGTGATTCCTCAGTAACCACATTTCAAGAAATTAAAGAATTTCCATTTTCCAACATTTCTACTTTCCCAAAGCATGTAACCTGGGCAAGTTATTCAACCTCTCAGACCCTCTTTAATAAATGTTTGTAATCACAAAGCGTCACATAGGGATGAATAGGAAGAAGGCAGCAGGTAAGAGATCTGATTAGCTCTTTTCGTGCCTCACTTCTTAATTAGTGAAGTATCTTTTTTTTTTAATTGGCCTTGTATCCATGATGGCCCTAAGTATGTTCTGCTTACAGAAACAACTACTGTCAGAGTAAGAGTTGGATCTTCTTTTACTGGATCCTCTCCTCATTGTGGGAGAAGAGGGATAAATAAAACAGCACTAGGTTCTTCGCCTTTTTTGTATCACAGACCTCTCTGAAAATCCAATTCCTATGATAATCTTTGACAGACACAGGCATGTACACACATACGCTAAAACTTTTATGCATAAAATCCAAGAGATTCCCAGCATCCCTGAAGACATCAAAACCCCCCAACAGCCCATAAATTCAAGGCTAAAAATCCCTGTGCATGAGAAGATGATCTAAAAAATAAGCTATATCCTGGTTATATGTGGTTTTTAAATTAATATGTTGTCACTAGGACAAATAAGAAAAGCACTCTATATACTTTATAAAGTGAAAAATTCATTTGGGTGTGCAAAATGATATAGGGAAATAATGTTTTTTAAAAAAAGTCAGAAGTTTCAAGGACATCTTTTTTCTCCTTTAAGTACGGGAAGGTATAAAGGTAGCATTTTTCTGAGATCAAACAAAAGGTCCTATTCTGGCATAAAAGTTCTTCGATATTACAAAGGTAGAATTTATATCGAGTTACATGATCAAAATTGAACTGTGATTATATATAATCATTCATATTCACAAACATGTGTCAGGGAGAGATACATATATTTTTTATTTTCATGCATTTGATTCACATGAAAAATTTAAGGAAAACTTTTGTCCCATAAAATGTGTTATACCTTGAAAAGCATAGCTATACAAATGCAGCTAAAATTCGATGGGTCAAGATCATCCTTAAGGATGGGGTGACCGGGGGACAGGTATTAAGGAGAGCACATGTTGGGATGAGCACTGGGTGTTATACGCAACTAATGAATCGTTGAACACTACATCAAAAATGTATGATGTACTATATGTTGGCTAACTCAACATAATGAAAAAAGTAAATTTAAAAACTTTAAAAAATTTAAAAACAAACAAACAAAAAGATCATCCTTATTGACTGTGGTTTTTCTATATGATTTTGTCATATAGAAAAGTCCAGAAATCAAAGTGCCTGGGCAGGGGCAGCTTATTCAAAAACCCCACAGAAACGGAACCAACATATATGTTGGTACTAATTTGCCCCTACAATTATTTGGAGCAAGATGGCTTTGAGAGAAGAATATAATTCAAATGAAAACAAAAGTTAGGAGAGTCATCTAACTGCACTCTTGATTTTAATAAAACACTTCTTACCTGGGGCCCATGATAGGGAGTAAATAACCCCTTCATTACCCGGGGAGGTGTACACAGCAGTTAGTGTGTTTATGTCCCAGACTTTTATAGTGCCATCAAAAGAAGCTGTTGCTAAAAGATTGGGATCATCAGGTTTGAATTTGCAGTCAAAGATCGTTTCCACATGTCCCTAGGAATGCAGCGTAGAGAAGTCACAACTACTGAGGAAGATTCATGTTATTAATAAACAAACTACAATGTATAGTCAAGGTAACATATGTACTACAGTTTCCAAATATTTATATAAAAATATATACATTATATATGTATATATACATGTATATACAAAATGAGAATCACTGTTGTGGTTGAATGTTCTCTGCGCTATTATTACTATACTCTTTTGTACAGACCTAGATTTTATTCAACCACAATGCCTCCAATCCGCAACTAAATACAAAGATGTTAAAAAAAGAAAAAGAACGCAAAACGTATCTTTTCTGATATTCATATACAGGATACCATGCTAGAAATTCATAAAGCAATTAACTATTAATATTTATTATGTCATTCTGGAAATATAATAAAAGACTAAGATGAAATTGAAACTATAGGTCCTTAAATGCAAATATTCTCTTTTTTATACCAATGACATACTCCAAAAGAACTTCATGATTTTGGCAGAAATAAGAAGAACCCAGCATAGCCTTGATTTTTAGTCTTGTTCAAAATTTTCTAACAACTTTATTCTTTGAAAATTATAAGGAAAAAAAATCACTATCTTTTCTGACTGGCAGGCATTATTTATTTTTTTTAAGATTTTATTTATTTATTTGACAGAGAAAGACACAGCGAGAGAGGGAACACAAGCAGGGGGAGTGGGAGAGGGAGAAGCAGGCTTCCCGCTGAGCAGGGAGCCTGATGCAGGGCTCGGTCCCAGGACCCTGGGATCATGACCTGAGCTGAACGAAAGCAGATGCTTAATGACTGAGCCACCTAGGCGCCCCTGACTGGCAGGCATTATTAAAGTGAAAACAAGCCACTGAAATAATTTAGAATCAAGGAATATCTTAGTTTTTATAAGAACTCTCAAATTACATAGTTTTCTAAATAAAATATTTTAATATGAAGACACACACTCAACAGAAACTCTACTGAACTTAGATTGCATGATTTCTTCTTTGCTAATATAAGTTTTTATAGATTTAAACGTATTCTTATATTTTTCTCCCTTCCTTTTCATAAATTTTTTGGAAAGTAAATGATAATTTGAAGTACAGGAGAGCTGACCACACTGGAAAAGAGTTTATATAAAAAGTTTACATGGAAAGAAAATGAAATAATCTAGAGAATATCTACAAAAGGAATATTTAAAAATAAGCTACACATTGTTACAAAAATTTTTTGGCCATATTTCAAATTTTTCACTCGAGGACAAAATTAAATTTGTCCTAAAATGATACAGTATTACTTTCTTTCCCTCAATTATTTTACAAGGGTTAAGTATAGCTCTATATTCCTTTTCTAAGTTTTCCTACAGAAAAACAACGAACACTTAAAAGTTTTTTAAATGCCTAGATGAGTCTAATGCAAACCTGTAAAAAATAAAAAGGCATTTTTATGCAGTCCGAAATAGGGAGATTTAAAGAAGCTGATTCTTGATAAATATCAATTACAACACAATATACATTACTGCATGCCTTCATTCATTCACAGATTCATTCATTCAACAAAACTGAATAAAGTCTTGCTATGTGCCAGGTACTATTTTAGGTGGTTAAAGCACAGAACAAAATCAGTCAAAAACGTGAGTCCTCAGTGAGGTTGAATTCTAATTTATATGGAAGCTTAATGATCATGAGAACAAAAGTTTACAGAATCACAGAATCACTGTATTGATTTGATAACAGCAATAAATCTTAGAAATCTTAGAAAATCTTAGAAAACACTGAACCCAACCTTGTTCATTTCACACATATGAACAATAAAGCTTGGAGTAACTGGCAGAGATGGACTTGTCCTTCCTCCTGAAAGAATATTTATTTCTCTTTTTGCTTCCAAACTATAGTACAGCAATGTAATTTTCCAGTACTATATGAAGGATCCAGGTGGTGTACACAATACCAACCATGCAGAGTAATCATAAGCTAAATAAACATTAATATTGAAAGAAGTTTAAAATTTAAAATTTTAAGAATTGTCCTAGTTTCATCATCCATCATTCTGTACATAATTCTAGAATGTTTCAGCCAACCAAGATAAAGCCCTAACATACAATTCTTTACGAAAATAACTTTAACAATCTTGGTATGTAAGTAAAAGTAAACATCATGAGCTAACACAAAATAAGTGTTGTGTATAAAAGAAGGAATGACCGCAGACATACCAAGTCCCTGAGAAAATCCCACTTCTTGGCTCCCAAGTCATAAAGTCCAACTCCACCATCCAAGAAGCAGCACACTGCATGCCCGGGAGGAAGAGAAAATGCCTGATTCTGTGTCAAAGTTGGGGGTGAAACTGCTTCGCTTGTTGAGGACATATAATGATTTTTAGTTGGAGACTGTCTTGAAACTAAAAAAAGAAAAAAATAAACAAGTAAATATTTACACCAACAGCTTCCCATAAGCTGGAATGAAACCACAGGGTTAATTTATAAAGATGCCCCTCTGTTTCCTTTTATCCAGAATTTATATCAGTAAACCAAGAGGCAAGAACCACAACTTCTGCCACAGAAGTCATTCTGCAGCATGGCTAAAAATTATACATACGTATATGTAAAAGTGGATGTTATTTTGAAGAGATGTATAAAAGTGCAGGTGCAGCAAAATGGATGAAAATTAGTGAGTGAGGAACCATGGTATGTTGTGAATATTTGGATTCTTATTGCCCCATAAATTAAACCACAGCATGATTATTTTTTAATTAGAATCATTTTTTCAAAATGCTGACTAATGGCTTACTTCCCCTCTACACACACAAACATGCATGAGAATGTTTTTATTTTAAAGCTAATAACTCTCTTCCACTAATTTCCAATCCAATGAAAATAATTCTTTTTGAGGTTCTTTGTAATTCACTGTAATTTAGCACCCAAATTAAGAATCACAACTGCCTGACATACATTTGCATCTCAATGTTTCTCTCTTCTTCCTCGGGTTTATTTTCACTGTTCATTCACTTCCATTTCTCAATTTTAAATTATATTAATATGTCTCTCTGTATATTCTTTGTCTTGTCTTTTGTCTTCTCTCAAGAAGTTTTTCCTTAGAACGTGAATATTCTCTTGCAAACATAATTCAAAATAATGATACTGCTGGAAATGATCAGGCCAATCTATATTAATTACATAGAACAGAGATGAATATTTCCCAGTAAATTCTTTTTGATCTAAATATAATAAAGTCTTCCTTATTGCATTCATTTGGATAACACTCATTTCTCAGAATCTGACAATGACAGGAAGTCCAAACTAGCATAAACTACTAATAACAAAAGAGGCATTTGGTTCAATAAAATACTGCTGACAGTTTCATTAAAATTAGCATCTTCCATGGCTGGTTCCTCTAATATTTTAATTTGTTGACATTATGGGTGGTGTTGATACCTTATACGCACCTATGTATCTGTCATTTATCTTTTTAAAGGATTTGGTGAGTATGTCTACATCTAAAATTTTTCATTTTCACATAATTTTTCTTATTTCACACTTTGTTACTTTAAAAAATTGGGAGGAAAAAAACAAGATGTCTAATAATAGTTATCCTGAAAGGATTTGCTTTAATAATGATAAGATTGGTATGTGCTTCTTTATATTTTTGGTTTTTCCTCTAATGGGCAGAGGCCACTCTTGTAATAAGAAAAAAAAATACGAGAAAGAAGAGAATCTATAAAATTTCAGTCATCCCATGTTTAAGAAAAATTCAAATTCTAAACCTCCCCCCAAATTCCAGAGTCTTTCCTTTTTTGCTTAAGTGTATTTTATTATTTTTTTCTTGATTAGAGAAGCAATAAAAGGTAATCAGGAAAAAAAGTAGACAAAAATAAAGAATATCCAAAATAGCAACTACTAATCAGTGACATCTGGTATTCAACCATGGAATATATGTTCCAGATCCTATATTTCAAATATTTAGGTTATTTCAACTTTGTTATAAACCCTCCAGATTGTAAAAGAGCCACACTTAAAACATAAAGTCTCCTATTTCAGATCAATTTTATTTGATCTATTACTCTTGATATTTCTTATTTTCACCAAAATCATTGCTTCATTTTCCCTATGTAGATAATTTGAGATTATCTTAATATCCTCATTTATTAGCATTTTAAAAATATAACTTGGCTCTAAATATTTTCAACTTAGTAATATTAGATATTATGTGGCCTTGATAGCTCTTTAGTACACATTGTCAAAGGCCATTTTTTAAAACCTGCTTTTCAGTAGCATATAGTATTTGGTATGTTTCTTTTTTTCTTTTTCTTTCCAAGTTTTTATTTAATTTCCAGTAGGCTAACATACAGTGTAAATTTATTTTTTTACTATGTTCAGTTGGTGTATCACTATATCAGTCATTTTATTTGATAGCAGTAAATCTGACATTTTAAAATATTAAATGTTGATGATTTTTTACTTACATTTTTTTCTTGGAGGAGAATTAAGTACATGTAAGCAGTGAAACCCTGTTTTCTTTAATTTAAAATTATCAATAGGTGTTGTTCTTGAAACATTCCAAATGCGCAAAACCCCCACTTGAGAATCTAGTCAGATCAATAAAAAAGCATTATATTAACTAGTTTTATTTGAAACATAAAATGCCCAGACACAAAAGTAGTAACAAAAACTTTAACTTGCAAGATTTTTGGCACCACTTACTAACATTCTTCAAACAATATCGTACAATAACCCAAAGAAACAGGTGAAATGCTATTCATCCTTTAAATGTTTGGCTTATTTTGCTTTTTTCTGTTCCAAATCCTTTCCTAGGGTTAAGGACTGTCTGCTTTGGCGGCTTCCCCCTACAAAGATCATTATCAGAGTCTGATCACAAAAAAAGCACCCCACTGACACCTTTGCTCTAGGGAAGCCAGCTACAAAAAAACTTTGCACCTCTAACATTAAATAATATTTTGTCTTTTGAAATGTACGTAAACTGCCCCTTTGCTCACCTGCAACCAAGACTGCCTGACATACCAAAAAACCAACTAGAAAGCTCCCCCACTTCCTGAAAATCCCACCTCTTATATAGAAGCTGCTTTGGGAAACTTTCTGGCAGTTCCTCCAGTGATTAAACAGTTACCATATGACTCAGCATCTCTACTCCTACACATATACCCAACAGAATGATAAACATTATGTCCACACAAAAACCTCTACACCAACATTCAGCACAGCATTATTCCTAATAGCAAAAAAACCAAAAAAGTGGAAACAAGGTAAATGTCTGTCAACTGATAAGTGGATAAACAAAATCTGGCATATCCATACAATGCAATATTATTCATCCATAAAAAGGAATGAAATATTCATACACACTACAACATGGATGAACCTTGAAAACTTTATGGTCAGTCCGACACTTGTACTGAATGATTTCATTTCTATGGAACGTCCAGACTAGGTACATCCACAGAGATAGAATGTAGGTTAGCAGTTAAATACACACATGTGTGCACTTGGGGCCATGGAGAGGGGTTCATGAAGAGCGACTGCTACCAGCTACCGAGTCTACTGGGGGCATGACAAAATGTCCCACAGTGAGGTCGTGGTGATGGTTGTACACCTTTGTGACTACAGACACCACTGAACCATATGCTTCAAAGTTTTGGGTGCCTGGGTGGCTCAGTCGGTTAAACGTCTGCCTTCGGCTCAGGTCATAATCCCAGGGTCCTGGGATAGAGCCCCACATCAGGCTCCCTGCTCTGCGGGGAGCCTGCTTCTCCCTCTGCCTCTGCCTGCCACTCCCCCTGCTTGTGCTCTCTCTCTCCCTCTGTCAAATAAATAAATAAAATCTTTAAAAAACAAAACAAAATGCTGAGTTTTATGGCATGTGAATTTTAACTCAGGAATAATGATAATATATTTTAAATGTTCCTGCCTGTCATTAATTATATCGTACAAAATGACAGGCAATTAAGCTACGTAAGACTCCATCTATATCCATGAGTAATGTAAGTGCTTAAAGAAGTAAAGAATTTCTTCAAGACAGTTGTGAGGATAAAGACTCTGTTATTTCACATTAAGCAAATATGGGAAGTATTTATACAGTAGCTGAAAGTACTCAAGTCTTTCAGAGACCTCTCTCTTGCATCCTAAGAAACCAGTAGAAGGAGTTATTTAATTTCTAATTACTAGCTTAAGTGCACTTATCTTCCCATCCCCTGTCACTTCTTAGCTTTACTAATTGTCTCATGACTGGGAAACCAAGAAGGAGCTTCCTTTCAAGCCATGATGATAAACCCCACTTTCATTTCCAACTTAGATAGAAAATGCCTTGGTCTAATTAGGTACTCATGGTCACTGACTGTCCAAATTATCAGTGAGGCTAACAGAGCTCCCATCTAGATCAACTGTTTTTCTAGTTAGTACTTTTACTGTCATCCTTCCATGACTGAAACTGAATTATCTTTGTCTTCTACACACAAACACAAAAACCTGAGCACATGTGTGCACATACACAATACAGTCCAATTTATAACCAGAAACCTGGAAAACTGGGCCTTAATTTCATATTTATTTGTCATTATGTTAATGACATACAGTATAAATAAAAGTAAACTAGGCATTTACTATAATAAATGATAGTATTGAGTATTAATACATTTTATACAAAATTAACCAATAAAAGACTATAACTTCCCTGACTCAGAGAATAAACACATATTTAAAACTTTGGGGAATAGGGTAAACTTACCCCCAGTTACAAACGTCCCAGGAGCACTGGGAACCCAGGCCAAACACTGAACAGAAGCTGCTGCACTGGGAAAATTAAATGTTGTTATGCAATAAAGTGATTCCGAATCTAGCAGGCGAATTCCAAAATGCATATTAGCCACTAGGAGATAATCGGTAGACAGTGGGTCCCATTCCAGGGCTGTCACTGGATCTTCCTCATCTGTCCCTTCAAGAGATTCAGGTCTCAGAACATGTTTCTGACTTTTATTACCTATTAAAATATAAAGAAAAAGATTTTAAACAAAATGCTCAAAAGAAAATCAACAACTGAGGTCATACTAATTTCCTCTTTGCACATCCCTGGTCTCTGAGAGTACTGGGAACAGAGATCTGGCCTTTGTGTGCAGAGGTCCTAAGTGACACAGGAGTGCAGGGGGATGAGATGAAAGTCAGACTGAACTGCTCTGCTCTGGCCATCTCTGGTGCCCTAAATGTTACTGAAATGCCAAAAGAAAAAGACGCACATAAACAATACCCAGGCTCATGTCATCAACTACAATTTCCACCGAGTTGCAGCAGCGTGGGGATAGGGAAGTGCTTACCAAGAGGAACACCCTGTTGTGGTTAAAAGCACAGACTTTGTAGCCGACTGCCTGGGTGCACAGCCTCATTCCACCACTGACTAGCTCTGTGCTCTTGGACAAGACACTGAATCTTTGTGCGCTCAGTGTTTTATTTGTACAATGGAGAACATAACAATACTTAGCTCGTAGAGTTTTGTAAAAGAGTGAGTTAGTCACTTCAAGTGCTAAGAACAGTGAGGCCTGTTATAAGCAGCATATCAATATTTACGGTCCCCCCTTCCTCATGCATCACAGCAGTGCTCATAAGCATAACTCACTCCCGACAACCAGTACAAATAAGGCGGCCAGAAAAATAGGGACATAAAACATGTGGAATTAAATGAAGCAAAGGATTATCCAACAACCCTCTTGTTCCTTCCAAATTTAGACACAACTGGCAATGGGGGAAAAAATGCTTCTGCTGAACCGGCCTCCCATTCCGAGGAAAGGCAGCAAGACAACGGTATTCAGACCACAGTCTTCACAGAATCAACTCCTCCTGAGGATTATAAACGCCACCAGAAGTGTTTACTAAACAATAACCCAACTGAGAGATACCATAGCTCCTTCTGTAATATCACCATTACATACTGTTTTTCAACATATCAGATTATAAAAGCAAAAAAATAAATTTCCTTGGATTTATAAGCTATTTATAAAATGAACTGAAAACCTTAAACAGTTTCTGGGTTGGGATTAAATTTGTCAAAATACATTATTCTTTATGATGTTGATCTTACATTTTATTTAGAATTTTTGCATATAAAATCATAGAAGGTACATGTGATGTTTCTTTTATTTGGCTTTATCAAATTCCTGAAATCCTCATCGAGAAAAGTTTGCTTCTTCTTTCCCAAAATAAGTATCTGCTAAATTGCTATTTGATCTAACAAACAGTAATATTAATACAACAAATCATTACAAGTCAGAGAGAGACCGAAAAATGATCAACCTAAGTTATACTAAAGCCATTTCTTAAGTAATTTTCAGGTATCTGCATGTGCCAGTTAACGTCAATGGTTTATGAAAAATATTCCAGAATGTGGAAAAAAAATAAAAACAACCCACTAACACAAACGTGGGAAAATCTGCAATGCAAATGCTATGGTATCTAAATCATGTTGCTTGAAAGCCCATGCTTAGTCAAAATGATTATGAATTACAGCCACGGTTTTCTGTTCGGTCTAGTAACAACATTTTTATTATAAAAAATAGAAAACTAGGGGCGCCTGGGTGGCTCAGTCGTTAAGCGTCTGCCTTCGGCTCAGGTCATGATCCCAGGGTCCTGGGATCGAGCCCCGCATCGGGCT